CCCCTCCTGAGTCCATACCCCCCCCACCCCCAGATACTGCACTGCAATCCAAGCCCCTGGCCAGACACCCCCACCAGGGGTTCTGCCCCTTCTTCTCTGGCCAGACACCTACTCCCAGTTTGCTTCTGCACCCTACTGCCCACCCAGATTTTGCACCCTATCCCACTCACTGGCAGCTCTGGCGCGCGCGCGCACACACACACACACACTCTGTCTGTCTGTCTGTCTGTCTCACACACACATATTTTGGGCCCCAATCCAGAGCATGGGAGGGCACAAAATTCTCTAACTTTACCCCAGAAGAGTTAATCTGGCCTGAGACCTTGAACCTCAGTTCTCCTTACCCTTCTCTCCTCCTCCCCCACACATGAGACTGGAGTACCAGGGGAGTGAGGTGTCTCAGTTGGGAGCCACGTCAGTGAGGATTGGCGGTTTCTGGAGGGGTTTTTGCTTCTCACTTGTGTGGTCCCAAACTGATTTCTCTGTGGGACAGTGGCTCCTAATCCAAAAAAGGTTCCCCATCCCTGCTATAAATAAAGACAGTGTTGAAACCTTTTGTGTTGGACATATTTTACTTTATGAAGCCTGGCCAACAAGCCTCCAGGTGGGGCTCAGCCCCCATCTGGCTGCAGTATCAATGCTCCTGCACCCCCCACACACCCCAGCCCTGAGCCTGTCATACACCTGAACCTCTGCCCTTACCCCTACATCCCCAGCCCCTGCCATAAGATTGACAGAAGACAGCCTGAATGTGTGTGTGAAGCTGGATTTGATCAGTTATGATGTAAACTTCAAAGAAATGAGTGAAAAGATGCAGCAGCAGAAGTCCCATTAAAGTACGTGAGTACAATGTTTCACTTCTGCTATTAGTAATCATGATGTCAATTATCAATAATATTAAGTTGTATATTTTCAGTGATGCAAATGAGCATTCATATACAGCTCTTTGTTGACCACTTGTTCTGAATGGTGATATAGTTTGACTCTGGTTTGAAAAGGTTGCTGACCCCTGGTCTAAAAGGATCCTAGTTAGCCCAGGAAGTGGAAGGTGCTAATTGCTGCATCAGGAAGGCAAGGTCAATACTGAGCACTATGTCAGAAGTAGCAATGGCTTCGTAGAGGTTGTTCTAGGATTTAGATTCTCTGTGTACCCGGCCCCACTCCAGCAGGAGAGGCCCCACTCTCCTGGCTGGTGGGGCCACACCTGGCACCGCTGCAGCTGGTGGGACTCCATGTTCCCCAGCCGGCAGCCCTACTCCAGCTTCCAGACTGCTGGCTGGGTTCCTTGCTCTCTCACCCTGCAGACTGGCTGAGCTCCTAGCTGCTGGCAATTTCTGTAGCTGGAGCTCTCTGGTCTGGTAACATCCGTGCTCCTGCTGTATCATGGATGTTGCTGGACCAAAGCATCCTGGACCACAGAAGTTAAACTTGTAGTAGGAAGTGACCTGGGGAAAACATAATTTTGGAGGAGCTCAATAACTGGGTCAGATGCTTTGATAAACCCTTAGGGCCTTGGGTCAGGACTCAGTGAGTGGGCTTGGGTGCTCCTCCAGTCTGCGATCCTCTGTGCTAAGAGAACCTCTTGGGGAGCAATCTGAGTACATCAGGGTGGGGGTTAAGGCTGCAGCTGGGGCCCCCTTCTGGATGAGTAGGTTGGCAGAAGCTGTAAGGCTGTGCCTTAACTCTGGTGATGGGACCTTACAAACTTGAAAATGGATACAATGAATGGACAGGGGATGGGCCAGATCCAGCCCTGGGGCCAGATCCAGCCTGCCTAACACTTTGATCCTGCTGTTGGACTGCGTCTGGCTGCTTTCTATTTATATCCTGCTGCCTGTGCCACTGAATTTCTAGGCAGCAGGAACATATTTAAATGACTCGCCTTCCTCTGTAGCATGGGGTACAGATCACAGCTGGAGGATTCTCTGCATCTTGGGGCCTTCAAAGTATTTGAAGGCTTCAATATCTGAGATATAGGTGAGAGGATGATTCTAGGAGGAGGTGGGTGAGATTCTGTGGCCTGCACTGTGCAGGGGGTCAGACTAGATGATCATAATGGTCCCTTCTGACCTTAAAGTCTATGAGACTCATGGCTTTCAGTTGAGGTGGTGCTACTCTCAAGGGCCAGAGCCATGAGCCCTTTGCTCTGTTTTTAATTCAAAGCCTCTGTCCCCAGGCAACTCTGGGGGGAGGCTAGTCCCCAGCCCTGCCCTTTGGCCAACCCCTTCTGGGTGTGGGGCTGGCCTATGACCTTGTACCAAAAGTCATTAAGTGGCCCCCTGTGAAAATTATTGCCCAGACCCTGGGTGTAAGATTGCCCTGGGAGATCAGCACTGCTGAGTCCAGAGTGAAGAGGTTCAATAACAAAATTCTGGGGCTGATCTGATTCTTCTTTGATTGGCACAAGTGAGGAACTCTAATGCCACCAAGTCTAAGCTAATCCCTTTCCTTAGTCTATTCATATCAAGTTTGATTAGTCATTTTTAGTTTTAAAGTGATGTATTCACTGGTACCGATCGGTTTGTGTAAGAGCAAAGGTAATAGCAGAAAGAGGTATGCAGTTTTGTTGTTCCTACTTAATGTAGCCATGTTTTAGCTGGGTGCTTTTTTTTCTTGAATTTATCAGCATCTCTATAAATAAAATATACCTCATCGCTAAGTCCAAGATCTCTAGGTGTTAGGTTCTCTACATATCATGTTCCCTCTCCTTTTTTTCCAACCTTTGCTAGTGCCACAGAAAAATTGATGCCGTAGTCACACACATTTTACATCTTGCACTTAAACTTTCTGTACTAAACATGAGCAGGTGAAAAAATGAATTAAAAGCTCTGTGGTTAGGGAAGGAAAAGACCACGTCCTTGCAACTCTCAGAACAATCTTAAAATGTCAAGTTTCTAACAGTTCTACATCCACTTTTGATTCTGCATATTTAACTGCAATCACTTTAATTATCTGTTTCAGATATGTGCATTGCCACTGCAATTTCTCTTCTTATGATTCTGATCTGTGCAATGGCTACATATGGAGCATATAAGGTAACTAATCAGATAAAATGTTGATTAATCCAACCTGAATCATTCTGCCTTTGAAACTCCTAACAAGCAGAAATTAAAAAAAACCCTGTCTCCTAAGGTTTTGTTGTTGATTGTAAACATTTATAAAACAATTTAATTTCTTCTATGAGATTACAGGAAACTTATGTTTGAGATTTGATTGTATCAAGTGATGCTATGCTGATTGAGGAATACAAGACTAAGTCTGTGTCTGCACTGTGGACCTTATAGCAGCACTGCTGTACCACTGCAACTGTGCTGCTATAAGGTCTCCTCACGTGGCTGCTATATGCCAGCAGGCGAGTGATGGTAGCTGTGTTGGCAGGAGAGTGTCTCCCACCGACACAGCACTCACTGTCCACATGGGTGATTTGGCTGGTGAAACGTTTATCAGAATGTGGTTTATTTCATAACCATGACTGACAAAATTGCTTATGCAGACTTAGTTTAAGATTGTCTAACTGTATTCATTGTGTGTTAGATCTATTAGTATATTATGGGCAAACCTCGGATACAAATGGCCAAATCCTAGTTTTATGGAAGTGAGTGAATTTTTTTCACATTCACTTCCCTGGGACTGGGATTTGTCCCAAGGAATGTATTTATATTAATCCCGTTTGGTATTTTAGGAAGCCAAAACAGTACGTTGTGATTGATTTTTTTTTTTTTTTTTTTTTTAAACCCGGTTCCTGTATAAGGTCTCAGACTCATATACTTAAAATTCTCAGTTTTGCTGCCCAGCATCTTTGGCTGCCTATCATATTTTTAAGCATATTTAACAAGCTATTTTCCCCTCTGAGAAACTATCACAAAAGAGTATTTTGCACTATTGATTTTGAAGCATAAGAAAATAATCGTTATACTTTAACATGTATCTATTTTCCTTTGTTTTTTATAGCAACATGCAGCCTGGATCATCCCTTTCTTCTGTTACCAGATCTTTGACTTCGCCCTCAACACACTGGTTGCCATCAGTGTACTTGTTTATCCAAACACAATTCAAGAATATCTACGACAGCTGGTAAATTGCTTAAAGTGAACAGTTGTTTTCATGATCAAGAGCCTGGCCTATACAGTTAATAATTTTTCTGCCTTAAACCAAAGAGGGAGAACAGATACAGGTTCTCTCTGGCAGTCATCTTTTTCTTTAATCATTAAGTCTCTGTACAGGTATTTCTCCTCCACATTGCATCTATGATTTGGGTTATTTTTTCCTCTGTCATAGATGCACTGACTTCATTTTTTCCAAGTTGATTCTTATTTGTTGTTTTCCACCCACATTTGTAATCTGTTTGTCCTTTGACTTATTCCTCTGCCTTTGCTTCCAAGTGTAAGCTCATCTATGAATGTCTTCAGTATTGCCTCTTTACGCCTTCATCCAGATCACTAAATAGGATATCTAAGACCGCAATATCCCGGCAATATCCCACTCTCTCTGACCTGATAATAGTGCCACCTCTCATAGGAAGCTGGGACGATGACTTGGTACATTAGTGTTTATCATTACTCTGCCTGCTGCTTCTCATTACTCTTTATTTACAGTTCTCTGTCTGGTTTTCCATTTATGTGACTGAATTCATGTCAAAGCCAATTTCAATTCAGTTTTTCCAGGTAGATTTTTGTGAGACAGCTGCAAACTAAGTTTCCCCTCGGCGCTATGTAACTCTGTATCAACCCTGACCTGGAGGGGCCAACTCCTGAGGTAAGGATAGGTAAGCCTATTAAAGGCTTTTCTTCAAGAAAACATCATTGTATTTCAAAAGCACATTGGCTCACATGATACTGGCTGGCTTGCATAAATCAGGGCAAGTAGTGTTCAGTCAGCTAAAGTTAAACTGTGCTATAACATCTTTGGCAACAAAGGTGCCAAATGGAATAGACACTTGTGATGCAAACTCTTTCACACTAGAATCTGCCCTGAAACCACCAAGTCTGTCCACAAAGTCCAACCAGTCATGAAATAATAACTGAACAGGGCTAATGTCAACCACTGATTCCGAATGTAATTTCAATTCTCCAATCATCTGCTTCTCTCAATATACTCTCCTCTGTGAGTATACAATAATGGTAATGATGCTTAGGAACATGATCTTCTGTCTTGTCACCTTTCATCATTCTTCCAATGAATAAACACACATCCTATAGAAAGTCACACAATGACTCCGAATTCAGTAATTGAGAATTTTCAGCAAAGATTGCAAAAGGTCCAGGTCAGTAACTCAGAGCTTCCCTCTTCTCCCCCCCGCTCTCCATTAGTCTTTATTCACCAACTCTATACAGTATGCTGAGTCAAAAGAACTGCAATATCTTCTCTTCTTTTTTTGCAAAAATCTCCAACTGGAACCAGTGCAAACTTCTTCTGCTCTTCATCTGATGAACCATAGAATCTCTTAGTTAACTAGTTAGCTAACTAATTAACTCACTAATCAGTATTAAGTACAGAAATGAAAAGTGAGCCTAGCAAAATGTGTTTCTTTCCCCATCATAAAAGAATTTAAATAACTTTTTTTAAAAAAGTTGGTGAACCATATTGGTGAAAACAACTGAAGACAATTTGGATAAAATCAAACAATGAAGGTATATAATTAAAATGAAAGTTTAGTAAAATTGAATTGAAATTGGCTTTGATATGAATTCAGTTATGTAAATGGAAAACTAGATAGAGAACTGTATACTCGGGTCTTCTCAAGTGGGTTTTGCCCACGAAAACTCATGACACCATCAGCATGTTTTGTTAGTCTTTAAAGTGCTACTAGACTGTTTTTTAAGCTTTTCCTGTAAGTAAAGAGTATTGAGAAACATCAGGCAGAGTAATGATAAACACTAATGTATCAAGTCAATGTCCCAGCTTCCTATGGGAGGTGGCACTATATCAGGTCAGTGAGAGTGGGGTATTAAAGGGATCTTGTTGTCTTAAGTTTTCTATTTAGTGGTCTGGATGCAGGAGTAAACAGGATGTACTAAAGAAATGCTTAAATGAGCTTACACTTGGAAGTGAAGGCAGAGGAATAAGTCAAAAGACAAATAGATCACAAATGTGGGTGGAAAGTAACAAAATAAGATTCAACTTGGAAAAACAGAAGTCAGTGCATCTAAGATAGTCAAAAATAATCCAAACCACAGATGCAATGTGGAGGAGTACTAGAGAGTCCTGATAATTGGGGGGTGGAGGAGGGGGGGAAGAGAGAGACTGTCAGAGAGAAAGAAGGAGAACTGGTATCTGTTCTCCCTTTCTGATTTAAGGCAGAAAACTAATAACTGCATAAAAGCAAGTAGTAGTCCTGTGTAGGGATGTTAACTATTGGGTATTTGTGTAAATATGTAACTGCTGGAAAATTTAGCGGTTATATGTTTACACACTGGTTATATGTTTACACTCCTTGAGCATTGACTGCTGCCTGCCCCTCCCTTACCTCTGGTAGAGGCAGCAGTGTGGGGGCAGGTGACTCCATGGAAGCTGATATGTGCAGGGAGCTGGCTTGAAAGCTCCTTCCCACATGTACCAGCTCACCCCTCCCATTCTCCCACTGCATCTGTGGGGGGGAGGGAGGGCGGGCAGTGTGTGTGGTTGATAGGATTAATTGATAGGCCCAGACTTATTGATTAATCATGTAATTGACTACATGTTGACATCCCTAGTCCTATGACACTTTAAAGACTAACAACTTTATTAGACCATGAGCTTTTATGGGTAAAACCCACTTCATCAGATGAGTTGAAGTGGAAATTACTGAATTCAGAGTATACATAACAGCAAAATCAATTACTTGTCAATTGTAGGACCAGTGTTAATGAAGCTAAGTCAGTCAGGCTGGATGTATCTTATTCATAGCATTAGATGTGGAAATGTGAATATAAAATGCAGGGAAATCACTTTTGTAGTGTTTACTATTCAAGGTCCTTTATTCAAGCCTAAGTTGATAGTATTGAAGTTGTATATGAACTCCAGTTCAGCTGTAGCACTAGGACTGGAAGGGACCTCGAGAGGTCATCAAGTCCAGTCCCCTGCCCTCATGGCAGGACCAAATACTGTCTAGACCATCCCTGATAGACATTTATCTAACCTACTCTTAAATATCTCCACAGATGGAGATTCCACAACCTCCCTGGGCAATTTATTCCAGTGTTTGACTACCCTGACCATTAAGAACCTTTTCCTAACATCCAACCTAAACCTCCTTTGCTGCACTTTATGCCCATTGCTTCTTGTTCTATCCTCAGAGGCCAAGAGGAACAAATTTTCTCCCTCCACTTTGACACCCTTTTAGATACCTGAAAAGGGCTATCATGTCCCCTCTGAAGAATAATTGAGCAGAAATAGAGATGTGTGTTACATCCTTCATTGAAATGAACCTTTTGCGGGTGAAAGAGGGAGTGATCACCACAGAAATGCCAAAGAGCCAGGGTAAAGACATCTTACTCCTGAGAGGGCACAGTACCTTTCACAGGAAAGGCAGAACCTGAGGAGGAGAGGAAATGCCTTGAAATAGGATAAGAAATGGAGAGACATGTTGAAAGGAGGGTATAAGAGGCAGGGGAAGGCAATGACTTCCCAAATTGCCAGCCTGGCCACACCCACACTTCACCCCCAGCACCTGCCTCATTCAGCAGTTTCTTGGACTATCTGGGCTTTAGTCCCACCAAGGCTGGAGTCATGCCATCAGCCCTACTAGGAATGGGCAGGCAGGGGACAGGTGCTTCTTACGCTCTGTGTCCAGGGCACCTGCTCCTCACCCACCCTATGATCTGAGGATGACTGGAACTGCACATCATAGAATCATAGAATCATGGAATACTAGGACTGGAAGGGACCTTGAGAGATCATCAAGTCCAGTCCCCTGCCCTCATGGCAGGACCAAATACTGTCTAGACCATCGCTGATAGACATTTGTCTAATCTACTCTTAAAAATCTCCAGAGATTGAGATTCCACAACCTCCGTAGGCAATTTATTCCAGTGTTTAACCATCCTGACAGATAGTAAATTTCTCCTAATGTCCAACCTAAACTTCCCTTGCTTCAGTTTAAGCCCATTGCTTCTTGTTCTATCTTCAGAGGTCAGGAAGAACAATTGAACAATTTTTTCCCCTCCTCCTTGTGACACCCTTTTAGATACCTGAAAGCTGCTATCATGTCCCCTCCCCTCTCATCTTCTTTTTTCCAAACTAAAGAAGCCCAATTCTTTCAGTCTTCCTTCATAGGTCATGTTCTCCAAACCTTTAATCATTCTTGTTGCTCTTCTCTGGATCTTCACCAATTTCTCCGCATCTTTCTTGAAATGTGGTGCCCAGAACTGGACACAATACTCCAACTGCTGCCTAATCAGTGCAGAGTAGAGCTGAAGAATAACTTCTCGTGTCTTGCTCACAACACACCCGTTAATGCATCCTAGAATCATGTTTGCTTTTTTTGCAACCGTGTCACACTGTTGACTCATATTTAGCTTGTGGTTCACTATAACCCCTAGATTCCTTTCTTCCATACTCCTTCCTAGACAGTCACTTCCCATTCTGTATGTGTGAAACTGATTGTTCCTTCCTAAGTGGAGCACTTTGCATTTGTCCTTATTAAACTTCATCCTATTTACCTCAGACCATTTCTCCAATTTGTCCAGATCATTTTGAATTATGACCCTATCCTCCAAAGCAGTTGCAACCCCTCCCACCTTGGTATCCTCTGCAAACTTAATAAGCGTACTTTCAATGCCAATATCTAAATAGTTGATGAAGATATTGAACAGAGCCGGTCCCAAAACAGACCCCTGTGGAATCCCACTTGTTATACCTTCCCAGCAGGATTGAGAACCATTAATAGCTACTCCCTGAAAATGGTTATCCAGCCAGTTATGCACCCACCTTCTAGTAGCCCCATCTAAGTTGTATTTGTCTAGTTTATTGATAAGGATATCATGCAAGACTGTATCAAATGCCTTACTAAAGTCTAGGTATACCACCTCCACCGCTTCTCCCTTATCCACAAGACTCGTTATCCTATCAAAGAAAGCTATCAGATTGGTTTGACA